ACGAATCCCGTTCCACGCTCCACCTCTTCCGGAAACCCAGCTGTCCACTCAAATCTGACACACCCCCTTCAGGACAGCCAGAGCATCCTGACCAAAACGTCAGGTTAACACTCACTGGTTCTTCTAAGAACCACACCTCTTCCAAAAAGAGATTGATTTTATGGTGTACCCTCAAGCTTAAAATACCATACAAGTCAACCACAAAACAGGAAGAGATCTAATGCTTTCTTTCACTGAAGAAATGCAACCCAACCTAAGACGTAGCCAGATCAACAGATGACAGAAAATTATTTAGTTGACCAAAAAATATCCCGTCTAATTTTCAACCATCCATGGAAGGGCATGTTCATTGCACATACCAATTGATGTCATATTTCTTGTACAGCCCAACCACAGAACTTCGCTCTGCCGACCAAGAATGCATATGCCTCGCTGTCCCCTCCAGACATCCAGGGTCCAAGGCCTACAATGCTGAAGTCACCAATGGCCTCTGCAACAAACCAGATACCCCCAGGACTCCCTCGTCCTGCCACTGCTGCCAATGTGTCAGCCAGGGCTGGCAACATCGTGCCACCCCCAAAGATCTCCCGGCAAAGTACGGAGTGGCTGAAGAAATTTATGTTCAGGTATGCAGGTGATGATAGCCCAGTTTGGTATTCCAACTTTATGTGTGTACGCCAGGACTGGATAAATTTTAACCTTGGGGAGAAAACGAGTTAACTGTATGGTGCATCAGTTGTAGATTGTACAAAAAACGCCTATCATTTCTATAAAAAAAAATCTTCAAACATTGGTCTATTTTGCACAGTTGAAATACTAAGATGCTTGTTGGTTCAACCTGTGACATGGTTAGTGTGAGAACTCGGCCTGTAAACAAACTTGGCAAATGTCTAGTATTCAAATCATTTATTTACAATCCCAAGGTTCATAGGTTTTCTCTTCTGTATGTACAGTTCATCAATGTTGAAATCTGTCTGCAGTTTATCGAGTTTAAGATTAAAATGAACCAAGCTTGCAATCACGAAACACCCCCAAAACACTAATACATCGATCAGTGCACTGCATGGAGCTCCAGTATCAGTATGACATGAAATTCAATTCATAATACTTTCAAACTTTCATCACGGTTGTCAATTAAGTAAACAAACCAAAACTTGTACATGTATAGAGACCGTCAATATAAATTACAAATTGTCACCAATTACAAATTGGCCCAACATAAAAATGCGCCACCAAGGTTAATTGTGTATGCTACTAAAGGCAAAATACACCCCTACTCAAAATTACTCAACAGCAAACATGCCACAAAGGCAGAGTGAGCCAAAAAGGCAAAACGAGCCACTCAGGCAAAATGAGCCACTGAGGCAAAATGAGCCTCTAAGGCAAAACGAGCCACTAAGGCAAAATACGCCACTAAGGCAAAATGCGCCGTGTTAAATTAGACACTAAATAACTAACTAACCATCAAGGTGGTCTTCCAACATTTAGTGAGACCACAGCAAATAACAAATTCAATTTAAGTAATCCTTAACCAAAATAGTGTTCAATCCATCCTTCCACTATCATTCAATGGTTCTTGCGTCCCGGCTGGATGTGCTGAAAACACCATATCTGTTGACGCACACAGGTAGATGTAGCCGCACTCAGGAGCAAGGTTGCCACGTCCACAATAGTCATGACATCTCCCCTTTCAAGTACTATGCCGGGCAAGACGTTGGTAGTAAAACTCGGGTTGTCATTAAGTGCCACTTATCAAGGGCCCTCTGAAAAATTAAGATTTTTGTACAGGAAAATACAGGATCAGTTATTCAATTCACACATAAATAAAGTGCACAATTTAACTGAGCAACATCAACAATTCAACTGAGTTTTGTCAGCACGTATCAGATGACATGCTAACATTCAATTAAATCATTTAAATGCACTTCTAAGATAAAAGAAAGGAAAATCTTCTTACAGATATGTGGCCTCGGTTATTGCTTGTAATTGGTCACCAGTCCAAAAATCACACGGTTTATGGAGTCATGAACACTCAGCAAACGAGCTAGAAAAGCAAATATCAAACCCCAACAGCAAACTCTCTAGTAAATGTGTGGAGCTCTCTGAGAACGGAGTTTGACCACTGGTGACTAAGACAGCGAAATTACTGACCCCTGGTGATTGGGTAAGGCACACTTTATATACACACACATCAACTCACACCACCGTCTCACACTACAGTGCCATAATAAAAGGGCGACACCCAATTGTTCACATTCCACTGGCATTGTATGCACTTACCCTCTGGAGTCTCTAATGCAGGATTCACATTGTAGAGCCCTATACGTCATTTCCAATGCAAATGAATGACATCATAGATATATAATAGATATTCAGCACTTACAACTAGACAAGGGAGGAGTGCAACAAACTTCTATGACAGCAAACAAAATTGAGAAAGGAAAACACATTTTATTTTACAGAACACATAACCTGGCTCAAATCTGACAGTTAGGTTTTAAGCCACTTTTTTTCATTGTACATAATGCCAGTACAGTGATTCTTAGGTGATCAGTAACTCAAGCACTCACCATGCCGTGAAACAAATCGGAAAGTAATTTTTAAGAAAAGGCCAAGTTAGAAATAGTTTGGAAGCTCTGAGACTTACTAATAAGCCACTTGCAAATTAAATTTTAATAAAATCAGGTACACTGTGTTATCTGATTGCTCAGAAACAAAACAATTTGAATTCCCTAGACTAAAGACACTTTTGCTATACCTTGTGATTCGGGGCAAGCTTTTGCATAGCAACCACCATCTCTGGGATGGACTGGTTCCTTTGTGCCGTTCTTATCCATTGAGAACAATGTATTGTTGCAAGGCGTCTCTTATGTAACTAAGCAAAAGCTTGCCCCGAATCACAAGGTATAGCAACAGTAGTTTTAGTATGGAGAATTCAAGTTGTTATGTTCATTAGTGAATTTAAAGAACTAGATTTTATTCAAATTTAACTCGCAAATAGCTTATTTGAAGAGATTGTTGATTCTTGTCTCTTTCAGGTGTGCGTGTGAAAAGTGCTTCCCAAAAATTGCCGGCAAGTTTGGCTACAAGGGGCACAGATACCAACCACATGATAATCATCACTGCTATGGCGGATGGCTGATCTGCAGACTAGGCAGCTTATCACACCCCTCTGAAGAGGTTTGTACCAAGATTGATTTGTTTGCAGTGTGATTGGTCAGAGGATCGGATGTGTTTGAATCAGGTTATGTGATTGTGTCAACGGGCAGTTTACTTGTTCATATCCATCTGTTTTTAAGTAGATCCATTTCTAAACAGTACTCAGTATGTTATTAACCTTTTTCCCCACAGATATGGGGAAAAATTCGACCCAGAACCAAGCCAGATTTTATGAGACCTTACAGCCTCTGTCAGCAGTTCAACTCTGGCAATCCCTGCAAGGTTGGTGAGGATAATTGCTGGTACTGCCACAGCCAGGAGGAGCTGATGATATGGGATGCGGACCGTGCCGGTAGCTTCAAAGGCAAGGAGATTGTGAATTTCCTACGTTATTCCCAGGGCATTGGTGTCAAGCAGCCCAAGGAGGAGCCAAAACAGGACCAGGCTGGCTTCACAGTGGTGTCGCACCAGGGCTCCAACCGAGCCAAACCAGTGCAGCCCTATCCGCGAATCGGCATGGGAGCCAGCAAGATGGCCCCCATCACTGTCCCGAATGCTGCGAAGGCCGTCCTTCCTGAGCAGCCCAAGAAGCCACCTGTCGACGAGAGCCTCCGCAAGTGGCACCTGATGCTGATGGCCAGAGTTGGGGGCCACTTCCTGTACCTGTGCGGGAGGTGTTTCGACGGTGCCCCGCCGGTCATGGCCCTGAGGAGCCCCACAACACCGTG